GGCCAATGCACGAGCAGCCCGGCCAAGGCAGCGGCGACGACGGCTCGGGGGAAAGCTGGATGGTGGTGGCGGCGAGTTACGGCGGCGGCGGCAAGAGAGAGAGAGAGAGAGAGAGAGAGAGAGAGAGAGAGAGAGAGAGAGAGAGAGAGAGAGAGAGAGAGAGTTGGAGCGAACCGGCGATGTGGTGGCGTGCTGGTCTCGGCTAGCTGGCATGGCGACGCGGCGGTCGGGCGCAGCGAGCTCGAGCAATGAGCTGGGCTCGCGGTGACGACAATGACGGACGATGCGGTGACGACGGTGAGCTCGGCTAGGCAAGCGGCTGGGCTGGGGATGAGCTTAGGGCGAAGGAAAACAGGGGAAGGAGAAGGAGGGTGGAGGGCTTTCGTGGCGGTGACGGCGCGGCGGTTGGGAGGCGCGGCTAGCGGCGCGAGACGGACAAGCTCGGGCGGTCGGCGGTGACTGGTCGGGCGGCGATGAGCTCGGGCGAGCAGAAGCAGAAGCAAAACCAGTCGAGCGGAAGGGAAGACCAACGAAGAAGAAGAAGAGAAGAAGAAGAAAGAGAAAGAAAAGAAAAGAAAGGAAGAGAGAGAAGGGGGGAGGGGCAGTCTGCATGGCAGGGACGTGCGTGAGGGGACGTCGCACGGGGGTGGGTGGCGCGGCGCAAAGGGGAGAGAGAGAGAGAGAGAGAGAGAGAGAGAGAGAGAGAGAGAGAGAGAGAGAGAGAGTCAAAGTAATGATCGCGATCCAACGGTCACGATTCGAACCCAAAAATCAATCTAACGATCCACAAAAATCCTAATTAATAATTGGGAAAAAGGGCCAAAAGAAACTAACTAAAACACACTACGATGGAGGTCTACTAGTCCAAATTCGCACCCGGTCAAAAGTTCACTTTTCGCATATCCCGGGCAATCTCGAGGCTGGCCACAATAATATTGACACCGTCCAATTAAATTCGTCCCGGAACTTCGAGAAATTCGACACCAAAATTTGGGTTCTAAATAACGGCCAAATTCGATCGAATGCGAATCTAGCAAAATCTCAATTTTAAAAATAATAACCGAGAGTAATTAGTTCCCGGACGAGATTTTACTATAAGCACACTGACGAATTACACGTTTTATACATCCCAAAAATGGATCGAAATTCGGAATGTCACACTACTCATGAACCTAGATAGAACACTCATAGCAAATAGAATATCTGGTCTAGTTGCTGTAAGATACATGAGACATCCAATCAAGCTTCTATGCATAGAAGCATCTACTGCATCTGTTCCATCATTCTTCTGTAGCTTCTCCTTAGCAGCCATAGGAGTGTTGACACTTCTACAATCTTCCATCTGAAACTTCTTCAGAATTTCCTTCATGTGTTTTGTTTTGGCGGATGAAGATCTCATGTGAAGCTTGTTTGATTTCCAGACCCAGGAAATAAGCCATCTTTCCCAAGTCCGACATCTCAAAAACTGCAAACAGACCTTGCTTCACCCTCTCTATCAGTTCCACACCATTCCTTGTCACCAACAAATCATCTACATAGAGTGATAGAATTACAATACTGTGATTCACCCTCTTGACATAAAGAGTGAACTCACTCAAGCTTCTTACAAAGCCAAAATCCTACAAATATCTGTCTATCTTCCCATACCAAGCTCTTGGAGCTTGCTTCAGTTCATATAGAGCTTTCCTCAATCTGTATACTTTCTCTTCTTGCCCTTTGATACTGAAGCCTTTAGGTTGTTCAACAAAAATCTCCTCCTCGAGCTCTCCATTCAAAAATGCAGACTTAACATCTAACTGAAATATAGGCCACCCCTTCTCTGCTGCAACAGCTAATAGTAACCTGATTGTATTAAGTCTTGCAACAGGAGCAAAAGTCTCAAAATAGTCTACTCCCCATATCTGAGCATAGCCTTTTACAACCAGTCTAGCTTTGTGTTTATTGACAGAACCATCAGGATTAAGTTTTGTTTTGAACACCCACTTAACCCCAATCACATTCTTATCAGATGGTCTGTCAACAAGCTCCCATGTGTGGTTTTTCTGAATCATTGCCAACTCCTCCTGCATTGCTGCAATCCACCTCTGATCCTCCTTGGCTTCCACAAAGTTGGCTGGTTCAAGCACTACCACATTGCTTCTTTCATAAATTTCAGCAAGTGACCTTGTGCCTCTTACTGGCAGATCATCCATAGTATCTTCCAATCCATCCACAACTTCATCATCCTGTACAATTGTTGCAGGTTGTTGTTCTGCAGATTGCTGCTGTCCCGCATTCTTTTCTTCCATCCAATTCCATTCATCTTCCTCTAGAAAAACAACATCTCTGCTCATAGTCACCTTCCCTGTCATAGGCTAAAAAATCCTGTAAGCCTTTGATTGGAGACTGTACCTAATGAAGACTATAGGCTTAGCTCTTTGATCGAGCTTGTCCCTCTTGACCTGAGGAACATGACTATAACACAAACACCCAAAAACCTTCAAATTCTTCACAGAGGTCTAACACCATACCAAACTTCAAAAGGTGTTGACCTCTCTACTGCCTTTGTGGGTAATCTGTTCAACAGGAACACTGCAGTATTAGCTGCCTCAGCCCAAAACTTCTTAGGTAACATCTTCTCTTGCATCATACATCTGGCCATCTCCATAATGCTTCTGTTTTTCCTCTTATTGACCCCATTCTGTTGGGGTGAATAGGGAGCAGTGAACTGCTGCACAATGCCTACTTGCTCAAAGTTTAACTTAAATTTGTGAGCAGTATACTCAGAACCATTATCAGACTTGAGCATTTTGATTTTCTTCCCACTATAATTCTCAACTAAGGCTTTGAACTTCACAAACACATCAGCAACTTCAGACTTGGCTTGCAGAAAGTAAATCCAGCTCTAGTCATGTCATCTGTGAAAGTAATGAAATACCTGCTACCACTGAGAGATGACTCAGACATAGGTCCACATAAGTCTGTGTGGACTAATTGCAGCTCTTCACATGCTCTCCAGCCTCCTCATTTGAAAGGAAATCTGGCTTGCTTGCCAAGAAGACAAGTTCTGCATTGTGGAAATTCCTCCTCCAAACTTGGCAAGTCATCTGCCAAGCTATTCCACTGCATAAACAACATGTTCTTCTTGTGAACATACCCAAGCCTTTTATGCCATAGCTTTGCATTTTCTTCTTTGCACTTCAAATCCATTTGTTGCATCTCCTGTGGCTTGAACGGGAAGCACTTGTCCTTCATTGGCATTCTCAGCACTTCCTTGCTATTTGCATTATCAATAAGGCATTCCTTCCCTTCAAACTTCACCTTATAGCCCCTCTCAACTAATTGACCAACACTCAAGAGATTCTGGTCAACTTTTGGTATAAAGAGAACATCACTGATCAGCTTCACCTCTTGATTTCCTTCAATAGCCATTGTACCCTTCCCTTGCACTTCGATATACTATCCATTGCCAATTCTGACTCTGGACCTGATTGACCTGTCTAGTCTCCTAAACAGCTTCAAATTGCCAGTCATATGATTGGTACAGCCACTATCCACCAGCCATGCATCATTCTCAATAGGAGAACCAGAATAGGAAGCTACAAACAAGTGTTCTTCCTCAGTCTCATTCGCTTCTATCTGTGCTTCTCCTGCTTGCTGGTGATTCTTCTCTTTGCAGATAGCTTCCATGTGACCAACCTTGTGACATCTTTTGCACTTAGCATCAGGCTTCCTCCAGCATCTAAAGGACTGATGATTAGTTCCACCACAGTGTCGACAAGGCTTCTTGTTCTCCTTCCATTTGACAGACCCACTTGTACTTCCTTCTTTTGCTGCAAACTTGGAGTCACTTGCATTCCCTTTGGACTGATTCCATTTCTTCCCTTTGTCTCCATCATTGAACTTCACTTTAGCTTGCAGTGCACTCTCTACAGGTTCTTCTCTTCTCATTAGTCTTCTATGCTCCTGTGCCTGCAGGGCACTTAACAATTCTGCAAGCTTTATGTTAGCTAAGTCTCTTGTATTTTCCAAAGAAGCTATGGTGGCTTCAAACTTCTCTGGAAGAGACACCAGGATTTTCTGAGCCAACCTTTCATTCTTCAAGTCAGTCCCTAAGACTCTGATCTTTTCAGCTATCTCAATCAGCCTATCAGAGTATTCCTTTACTGACTCTGAATCCTTCAACTGCTATCTCTCAAACTCCCTCAAGAGATTCAGCACCTTCATGCTCCTTACCTTCTCATCTCCCTCGTATTCATCCTTCAAGAAATCCCATATTGCCTTTGCAGAATCACATCTCATGATCCTTGTGAAGATAGGGGGTGAGACAGCACATACAGGCAAGACTTTGCATTGGCCTTCGTTGTGGTTCTCTCTTTATGGTACTTTATCTGATTCAAGGTCGAATTGTTTGGAAGTGGAGCAACCTCATAATCAATCTCCACAACCTCCCATAGATCATGACCCTCCAAGAATGCTATCATCTTGACAGCCCAATCTTGATAATTTTTCCCAGTAAAGACTGGAGTAGCCATTGCAGAGAATCCACTTGATCCTGCCTCCATCAGCTTTTTCTTTGTAGATTGGAAGCAGTCTTCACACTCACCTACCCTTACTTCACAGTCTCTTAAGATCCCACTGAGGCTCTAATACCACTGTTATTACTGATATAGTCAGCTAATTCATACAAACTTCTAGTTTTTCAGAGAGAGAGAGCTGGATTGAAAAAACATTTTAACTTCATAATGCCGAAAACTGTCAAGTACAAGCAAAATAGGAACCTTTTAGAACCGCACACAAACGTGCAAAACTGACTTGTTCCACTTCCTAGAAAATAGCTGGCAAACCAACCGCCTAACAAGCAAACTTGACTGAATAACAACAAAAAGAAAGCTAAAACGACAGAACATCAGCAGCAGTATTGAGACACAGCTCCAACACGAGGACATAAGGGAAACCTTTGCGGCCCACCTCTTCCATGCACTGAAGCAGGTGGGGATCTACTATTTCAGGGACAATGACAAAGTGGGATTGGGACTTTCATCAAGCCCAAGCTGCTCGATGCGATTCGCCACTCTAGGGTTGCCCTTGTCGTGTTCACCACCAACTACGGCCGACTCGAGGTGGTGCTTGAACGATCTGGTGGAGATCCTGGAGTGCAACAGGAGGTTCAGAGTCATCAGGGTCACGTGGTTCTGCCCATTTTCTATGATGTTGAGCCAGGGGACGTTCGAAAACAGAGCGGACGATTCGGGGATGGTTTTGGAATATGTTTGGCCACCCACACGGACAATTTGCTGGTGCAGAAGGGGAGGGATGCACTTAAAGAAGCTGGGAATTTGTCAGGATGGCATTTGAATAATGATGCTAATGGGTAATTCATTTAATAAGTTCATTCCCGAAACGATCATATTAGTGGTCGATTTGAAATACTCTGTTGATTGAGTTAGTTCACGGGTTTGCTGCTCATCTGCTGATAGCCTCTCTATGATGTAGTTACTCATATTGGACTTGTTCTTCCTATGCAACTATAGCGATCAATCAAACTTCATCGAGCAAATTGTAGGAATTCTCTTCAGAATCAGTCCTAGACCAATCTCCCCCTATTTTGTCAGAAATGCTATTGGGGTAGATTCCTTTGTAGAGGATGTGATATCGTTGCTGGAAATTGGGTCAGAGGATGATGTTCGTGTGGTTGCAATATGGGGAATGAAAGGAATTGGTAAGACGACGGTGGCAAAAGTTGTCTGCGATTGTGTTTTTAGGGAATTTGAAGGTGTTAGCTTACTCGAAAATGCCGGAGATGCAAATCAAGTTACACTTTTACTTCTTCAGAAGAGACTTCTCCACAATGTTCTTAAGGTACAAGGTCTAGAAATGTTTGATCTTAACAGCAACATCAACTAGATAAAAACTAAGCTCTGCTGGAAAAGGATCCTTCTAGTTCTCGATAACATCACTAAGAAGGACCGAATTGAGTATTTCGGTGCTGGAGATCGAGAATGGTTCCAACATGGGAGTAGAATTTCGATAACTACAAGAGATGAGCAGTTGCTGTAAGATCTCAAGGGAGATAGCAGGTAAATGCTCCCAGGATTGACTCGTAAAGAATCGCTCCAACTCCTGAGTCGCCATGCCTTCTGCAAAGACCATCCGGTTTGTCATTACATTTTAATGATCGCTACAGATAAGTTTGGATTGGTTAACTGAATATCTAACTTCAGTCTCGGGTTATATTACAAGTCATTTTGGTTCTAACATAATCAATTCACTCACATTTCAAAGCAACAAAAGAACATATGGACCATGCGGTACTGAAAAGGGAAGGTATTTTTCATTTCCAGCCACCGGGGGAAGATCGTTGGATTTTGTGGAAGTTATGGTACCTATTTGGAATCTATTGGAGCGTACTTAGAACAAATATCTCGTCTTTATCCAATCAAGTCTATCGGGCCATTTGGAGGCCAAGGTGGACAGCCTTGGGATGATGGAAAATATAATGGCGTGAAGAAAATAAAGATACTGTTGGAAAGTGTTGTCAACTACATCGCCATTGAGTATGACAAAGATTGCGAGTCCATTTAGTCTTCCACACATGGTAGAAGTGGCAAAGGCGAAGTTTATATGGTGAATTTATCAAGTTTTAGGATTAGGAATATCTTTCTTAACAATCTTTTCTGTTACTTTGCCACCGCCAAAGAAAGTTCATTGACTTTCAAGTCTCTGTATATCGTCATCTTTGCTGCAACGATTGAATATGGAAGGAAAAACCTGAAAGGGAAAAGAAATGAGGAGCTTAGGTTAAATATGATTAGTTTTAGCATTTACTTATTTTCGTTTCCTCCGTCCAACTTGATTTCCTATCATAATTAAGCACATTAATTGATAACTTTGTAGCTTGATTTGGACTACCCACACGAATACTTAACCTCGGTCTTGGGTTATATCAGACATGATTTTGGCTCGGTTGTCATTCGATTGCTGACATTTCAAACTAATACAAGACTGCACGGACCGTTTGGTGAGAAAAAAGGAGGGTTCTTTTGCTGTCCATTGATATGTAGCATGATAATTGGCTTTTATGGAAGATCAGGTGCCCATCTTGATTCAATAGGAGTTCACGCAGAACCAATTTCTTGTTTTGGTCCTTCCAAATCCATCGAGCCTTTTGGAGGTCAAGGCGGCGGCCCTAGGGATGATGGTATCCACACAGACGGAAGAGAAATAAACATAGTCGCTGGATCCGTAATTGACTCCATTGCTTTTGAGTATGAAAACAATGGGTCTACAGTCCAGAGCCCTCAACATGGTGGCAATGGAGGAGATAGGACTTACAAGGTATGACCATCTTTCAATTACACGCTCTTATATTGTCATGTGCAACATCAGTCAATATCAAGTTGCTACTAAGGTCTTAAGCGGTTTTAAAGGTCATATTATGGACATTCACATGTGACTTGTGATGCGGAGAGTGCAAGAAGTGGATCTAATGACCACATATGGTTTAATATCAAACTATCCTGGAATTTTGCAACTTAGAGTTAACTCGTACAACAAAGTTGTCTCAATGTTAAAAACTCATGCACAAGATTGGACACACTAAAATGTTCCATTCGGGTCTTGTGCCTTGTTAGTCTAACTTGGTTAATCAGTGGGATTCTGTTTATGGAGATTTATTTTTACTACTCTACGGTGAAGAGTTTGTGATTAAAATGTCTCACTTTCAATTTTTGCAGACTAAGCTTGATTACCCAGGAGAGTATTTGGCTTCGTATTCTGGTCACATAAGAGATGATTTTGGATCTGTTGTGATTCGTTCCCTCGCATTTCAGAGCAACGAAAGAACTTATGGACCATTCAATATCGAGAAAAGGACGTACTTTTCATTTCCTTCAACCGGTGGAAAGATCGTGGGATTTCATGGACGGTCTGGAAATCATCTCGATTCGCTTGGCGCGCATATAGGACACTATTATTAAGAGCTGACCATGTGTGCCTGCGCTTGTACGTGTCGGGTATACTTGCAGATGTGCTTGCTTTCAAGTGTACATCATCCATCATTCTCAGAACATGCCAATGTATGTAATTGGTCTTGTCGTATCTCTTGACAGTCTTTGCCATATTGCCCCATGATTTTGGAGAAGTAGATGTCACACTTAGAGCATCCCTTGGTTTGGTTCGTCACATCTTCAAGTCTCCGATAATTCTGTTTCTATTCTTGGACACCCCTTTATCTACATCTGGTATTGTCCCAACCTTCTGGAGGCGGGACACATTAAGTGTGTGACCTCGAGTTGAGTTAACAGATTGTCAAGTAAAAACGCATGATTCCTCTTATAAGGTGGTGCTCGCATCTGGTTTGGGCTCTCCCAAACCCTAACTGTTGCGATGTGAGTTGATTCGGTTAATTGTGAAAATTTGTTCCTTCTTTTGGGAGCTACCATTAATCTGTTATGGGTTTTAGAAACTTGAATAAGACGCGGTAAGACGCAAGAATCCGTCTAACTTCTACAAATAAGAGATTCATGAGTTCAGAGATTTGGTTCCGCCAAATTAATCTAGTGCCATTTCGATATCTTTCTCTTCATGAAAATGTTTTACTTGCAGTCTTCATTAATTTCATAATCATAGACCTCTAACATATGAAAGGCGATTGTGCAGGACTGTGCAAGCAGAAAAGATAAACAACCTACAATGAAAGCAGTACATAAACATAACTAAATAAGTGAATAAAAGACGGGAAGATAAAAACCCGGGTAAAAATGAATAAGGCCTTGTTATTAGAGCTCCGGACAGGATCCCATGAGCTATAAGCCCTGGACTAGACATGCCCATGTCTCTAACATGCCTCCTAAAGAAGACTAAGTGGTGCAAAATTTGATGAAAAAACATGCTTTGCTAAAGTAACGAATTAAACTAACCCTAATTAATCCAATTTTTTTTATATTTTCTAATATCTAACATCAGATGCCGCCCTATCATGAAATGTCACCACATATGAAACTGAACATTCCTAAAAGCGCAATTTTTTTTTATTAAATGCCACCTTTACCCCTTCTCTTTTTACCTTTTCTTTTAAAGATATTTTCTTGGTCATTTTTCATTTCTATTCAAAATACAATATTGTAAGATCTATATTACATTTGGGCTCTGAATGGGCCCGATCACCCCCAGAAACGCTCCGGATGACAGGTTAAAGTTCAAGGGACGTCCCCGAACCGCCTGGGACTGCCCAGGACCCTCAAACGGACTGTAACTGGTCCTGGAGTCCGCTGTACAAGGCACTAAAGGTGCTGGACAGCGGGCTCTTGGTGCTCGTTTTTTATGCAAACGGGCTCGAACGACCACGGAAACGTCCCAATGCACTCCTAAGGCCTAATGACACTAATGATGGCTCTTAATCATCCTATTAACATGCTAAACATATAGGAAAAAAACAAAATGAGATACAAACTAACGAAAAGTTAAAACGCCATAGCCGACTTAGCGAACTAAGAGATCGAGGCATCGGATTCGCGTCGCACACAAGGGTGAGGCAAACCGTTGTGCCTCGATTTTTATCCTGGTTCAAGCACGGCGTTCTCGGCGAGTCGAATGAAAAATAAGTGTATTCCTACCTTAAGCGAGGTTATGATGTGGCGACGCCGGAGGAACCAAGGAAGGAAAGGAGCAGTTTTGTTGAGAGAGAGAGAGAGAGAGAGAGAGAGAGAGGGGCCGGGGATGATGAGGGCGAAAGAGAGGGAGAGAGTGTTAGAGAGAGAGAGCTTGAGAGAGTCGTGTGGGTGAATTTATAGAGAATGAGAGAGAAACTTGTGGAGAGATGTCCGTTCAGTCAAAGGAGAGAGAGAGAGAGACAGTGAGTGGCCGCCCACATGAGGGCCCTTGGCGGGCCCAAATAGGCCAGCCTTAATGGGCCCAAATGGGCCGGCGTTGATGGGCTTAAGTGGGCCGGTGTATTGACCAGCCCGAGCTCTACTCGATCAAAATTTTGGTCGTTGGATCCGAGGTTTCCGAAATTATGATGTCCTTAGTTTAAAAATGCAGAAAAAACCTAGTGAAAAAAATATGGATGCAAGGTTATATAAAATGACTATTTTATATCGAGGGTTGAATTCTACCGTTATTGGCAAATTCGAGCTCTACGAATTTTTGAAAATGTGAAATGTATAATGTATCCATTAGAAAAATTTAGATGTCAACAAGTATTTGATCTTTTCTTTATATATCAAGTTCCATGCTTAGAGTAACCTACGCTAAGATTTGCGCGCGAAAAAGTTAAGTGTAAATATGATCATATATGGCGTAATTATTTTTCTCTCTACAAAGTTTTAGATTTTTATCGTGGAATGCCTCGGGAGCTAGATCCGGCGAAAGGGTATCATGTGGGCCCCAAATATAAGGCTCACATAAACAATGCAAGGTAGGCTAAGTCTATGGATGTGAATCCAGATAAGTTTTTCTATGCCACAGGAGAGAGGAATAGTTGACTTTTTTGCGTTATTTTCTCTCCCGGGTCGGACATCGACAATAAACTTATTTTAATGTTTTGCCTTGATCAATTCAAATTCACTCACATTTTCTGCTAAATGTCAGTATGGTTTTAAGAGAACATTTATAACGATTTGAGCATCTTGCACTGTATCCCGGGACCATTAGCTAGCTCCCTAATAAATTATAGTCCATAGAGAAAATATTGAACAGTGGCCGATGAGCCGCATCCTATTCTGCTCCCGAAGTTGAACAAAAACAATATAACAAATAAGAAGAAGTAGAAAGAAATTTTAAAAGGCATTGAGTTGTGCCCCAAACCCATATGACACGTTCCTGAAAGTCAACTGTCAACATCTTTTTGCAGCTCTGGTTTCACAGTGCTGTCAATTTTCGTGCAAATATTCTATATTTGAGTCTGCATTTTACTAAGTTGAACGTACAATCTTCGGTAGACATACCAAGCTATTATGTGGGTTGTAACTACCGGTGGGCGAGAGAGAGAGAGAGATTTTGCTCTTGCCATTCAATACATTTTCTTTTTGCAATAAAATTTGTCAAATAAATCCAAGTTGCAGACTCCAGATTTCCTTTAAGCAATCATGAACAAGTCTCTGGTTAGGTTAAATGGCTTTTTTGGTCACCGAAATGCATCCCACCAATCATTTTTTTACCCGCTAAATCATTGCACAACAAGGAGACATGCACGTTCGAGTTGAATATAATTGTTTTCAGAAAAGAGAGAAAGACAATAGACACGGGAACGACTAATGATCAAGCAAGCCAGTTGGAGATTATTTGGCAAAAATAACATCCATGTTCAAATTCATCTCAGTGTCCAAATGTGCATTATTTCCTCGAAGTCACCATGAAGAAGTCTCCGCTTAATGTCTTTTTAACATAAATACACATGGCCTCTCAATCAAAGTTTCTACATCACATATCAACAAGACAGGAACCATGTGTTCTCATCAATGGAAACATGACATATTCGTGAGTTTCAGAGGCAAGGAAATGAGGAAAAAATTCATATCGCACCTCTTATGCGAACTGAGCCAGGCGGGGATTCACTACTTCAGCGACGAAGACAGTGACGACGCTGGGGAGGAGATCAAGTGCAAGCTCTTGAGAGCGATCTGCCACTCGAGGTTCGCCGTCATTGTGTTCTCCCCAAAGTATGCTGAATCCAAGTGGTGCCTGAATGAGCTGGTCAGATCCTCGAGTGCAGAAGGCAGCTCAAGAACCATGGCCACGCGGTTGTTCCCGTCTTTCATGGCGTGAGAACGTCCGATCATTTGCAGTTGACGAGCGGAAGTGAATTCGGGGAAGGTTTCGAGAGGTTGTGTAAGATCGTGAGAGACGATGCGCAAATACGGACATGGAGGGATGCCCTAGCAGAGGCTAAGAAACTTTCGGGCTTCCATTTGGAGAATCACGCCCATGGGTACGTACCTCTGATTTTTACTCCATGTCGAAGCTTAGTATCGTGATCTGTGATTTTTTTTCTTTTGACGTTCTTTAGTTTGTCTGCTTTGTAGACGGAATTTGTGTGTAATCGACAGAATTGGTTTTCTTAAGGCAGGGGAACAAGCAGAAGTCTCTTTCGACTTTCCTCAAAATTCTTATTGCGATTTTTTGGAAGATTATGGAATAAATGATGTGACTTTATGTGTTAATTACAAAATTTTAGATGTAAAATAGGGATAATTTCAAAAACCATCTTCACTTTTCA